ACAGAGTCTCACTCCATTGCCCGGAGTAGAATGCCGTGGCGTCAGCCTAGCTCACAGAAACCTCAAACTCCTGGGCTCAAGCAGTCCTGCTGCCTCAGCCTCCGACTAGCTGGGACTACAGACATGTGCCACCATGCCTGGCTAATTTTTTTTTTTATATATAGATTTTTAGTTGTCCAAATAAAAATTTCTTCCTATTTTTTTTAGTAGAGACGGGGTCTCGCTCTTGCTCAGGCTGGTCTCGAACTCCTGACCTTGAGCGATCCACCCGCCTCGGCCTCCCAGAGTGCTAGGATTACAGGTGTGAGCCACCGCACCCGGCCCTTTTTGTTTTTTTTTTTTAAATTAACAAATAATCCTTACCATGTGTCAGTCACTAACCTATGTTTTACAAATATTAACTCATTTAATTCTCACAATAGCCCTTTGAGGTAGGTACTGTTTTATCTTTGTTGTACAGGTGAGACTGAGATACTGAAAGGGTAAAAAAAACTAGGTGGTTAGTAATTGACCAAAGATGTGAACCCAGGCAGTTCGGCTGCAGAATCCGTGCTCTTAACCACAGTTGGAAATATGCACTCGAGGTTAGAGAAAGAAGCTGGGATGGAAGACAGAGAGGTATATTCACTCCAGCCAAAACACATAGCCCTGTTGTGTACCACGCAATGGGACAGACAGAGGACATTAAGCAAGTAGATGTGCTTTGTACCCTCAGGGTGCCCAGGGGTTTGTTGAAAAGGGAGACTTGAAAAAGATCAAGGATGAACCAAGGAAATCTACGTTTGAGCTAAGCATGTATTTTGAAGGCATTAGAGAAGACTAAGAACTACCAAGATACAAAGAGGAAAACCAGGTGAGGAAGGAAGCAAAGTAAATAAAGACCTTCAGGAACAATTGAGACCAGTAGTGTCCTCTATAGTGGATGTCATTGGTGAGAACCATTTGACTGGTTTGGTGCGGCTTCAGCCATATTTCTTTTATTCATGTTAATGTGCATAAAATTGAAAAGGACTCTTAAACCTCTGGAAGACCGAGCAAACACTGTAAAAGAACAAAGTACAAAAGAAATGTAAATGTATGTGAAATAGTCAAAACTAGTATTCAGAAAGTGAAAATTAGAGCTGGGTACTGTAGCTCTTGCCTGTAATCTGAGCTATTTGGGAGGCTCAGATGGGAGGATCACTTGAGGTCAGGCGTTCAAGACCAGCCTGGAAAACATAGCAAGACCCCGTTTCTAAGATATTTTAAACAAATTATCCAGGTATGGTGGTATGTGTGCCGATAGTACCAGCTACTCAGGAGGCTGAAGTAGGAGGATTGCTTCAGCCCAGGAGTTTGAGGCTGCAATGAGCTATGATCACACCTCTGCACTTTAGCCTGGGCAAGAGAGCGAGATCCCATCTCTAAAAAAAATAAAAGTAAAAACCCGAAAAAGGAAATTAAAACATTGAAATTTAAAATAAGTTAAAAATGCGATGTTATGGACTTCTGTTTCCAGCCAAGATGAAGTAAGAGGGAGTGGATTTACCTTCTTGACTGCCAACAACAAAGCAGATGAAATATGTGAAACTTATTTTTTAAGACCTTGGATATCAAGCAACAAAGGACAGTGATCCATGAGAGATGGGAAACCTTTGAGAGGGTTTCCAGGTTACAGTAGAGGAAGAAGAAACTGAGGTGGGCCCAGCGGACTCCTTGAGTCAAGGACATGGAGCTAAGACTCTGGGGAGAGCAAAGTAGAGTTCATAGGACTAGAGAGAAGGGAGTCTCACAGAGAGAGAACCTGGAGATCTGCAGAGGGTCTCCCTCGAGTATTCAGCAGAGCACAGAGGAATACGAACACATGCTTGTGAGGGAATTACCTGAGCCAGGGAAAGAGTCCTCTAAAGGGTTAGAGGGAACAGTACCTGATGTTCACGCAGGGCTGAGAATAGTGCCTGTTCCCACCAGCCAGACTGGAAAACTCGTCCCATTCCTGGAGCGTTGGGTAGATCTTGTCTACCCGATCAGGGCCTATCAGAAAAGGCCTTCAGTAATGGGGAATAATTAGCTCTGTACTAAGCGTTGCTAAATCCACCTAGCAAATTGTAAAAGTAAGACCCAAAGGATCAAGCTGTTTCCAAGTAATCTAACTGCATCTTGAAACAAATCTCAAAGAGATTTATAGGAATATGAAAATACTAAGCATCCAATATGATAAAATTCACGGTATCTTACACCCAAAGACTGCCAAGCATGCAAAGAGATAGGAAAATGTGGCTCACAAGGAGGACAATGGTAATGAATTGAAACTGATCCAAAACTTACACAGATGTTAGAATTAGCAGAGGCGGACAGAACAGTAAAACAGTTGTTACAACGATTTCATATTGTCAAGAAAGTAAGTACAGAAATAAAAAAGAACCAAATTGAGAGTCTAAAGAGAAAAACTACATTGTCTGAAATGAAAATATACCAGATTAACAGCAGATTAGACTCACAGAAGAAAAGATGAGTGAATATGAAGGCATAGCAATAAAACTATCCAAATGAAATGCAGAGGGAAAAAAGAAACCAAAAAAAAAAAAAAAAAAACAATGAGACAGAAACTTGGTTCTTTGAACCGGTTAAGAAATGTAAAAAAATATTGCCTATGTGTCCAATATGTCTAATACAATAAAATAATAAATACATTCTCAAAAGTATCAGCAAAAGAAAGCCTCA